AGCCCAGACTGGTAAGTGCCTTGTTCCCTTTACTGTCTGTGCCTTGAGAGTTTCCAGTTCTCCACATGCCTTCCAGCACCCTGCCTGATGCATTCCTGTCAGGGAATGACGCTGCTCTTCTCACCTGTGGTGTGTTGAACACAGGCTGAATTTGGGCTTCTGCTACGCACGCTTTGATTTATGGCCTTCAAAGATGGGAAGTGTTTGATGCTCTTTGTAGCTTCCTTTCTGTTGCAGATACTACTGGGAGTGCTGAGAGTCTCCTCCAGGAGCAGTTCCCTCCAGCTGCAGGACAAGAGCAGCACACTTCCCTGTGTGATATCCCATAAGGATGGTAGCCCCTTTGCCCGTACAGCTCTCATAGGTATGTCCCACAAAGCTAAATTTGAGGGTGTTGAGCTTTTGCTGTTCTGCCATCCAGCTCCGAAACAAGGAAGAGACTTGATATGGAGATGCTGAACTGTCACTGCTTGGCCTCATGACTTTAAAATGAGGAAATCGAACCTGCTGGTTTTATATTCTCTTTCTATTAGCTCAGCTCCTTTTTCTGATGCGTTTGTAGGATCGCTCTTGAAGGTGGAAAACTACCAGCTTGTAGTGGAGAGATTCATTCAGACTGATTTTCCCTCCTGGGAGCAGCTGGCGAATCTGGAGCATGTGAGGGAGAAAAAAACAAGGCAAGTCCCTTTATTCAGTGCCCAATTTAAAATCATCACTGTTCAGTTCCACAGCTATTTTGGACTATGGTAAAACTGCTTATCAGCATAGTATTTCAGTGCCAAAGCAACTGTCCTTTGCTGTTTGCAAGAAGGGACATCTTTACAGGCAACAAACTCACCATCTCCATTTTGTTTAGAATACACCCAGCCTGGTATCTGCCCTCTACTTCAGTCGTTCCCACTGCTAACACTCACCAGAAGTGCTTTTCCCAGATAACTACTAGGCAGCCCCCTCTCAGGAACAGGGAGTTTCACTGCTACCATTTGTTTGTCATTTCAGTGTCTATGTGCAGTTCTACTTTGAGGATGTTCAGGTTCTCCATGCTGTTGAAGGACAAATCCAGAAAGGCCTTAGGAGTGGAAGGAGCTCCTCTTTGAGGCAGAAGGATGATGGCAGCTTAACATCTGAGCTGGAAATGCCAAAGGCAAAAATGCTGAAATTGGAGGATCCCAAGCCAGATACTTGCAGAGATGGGAATGGTCAGCGGGGCCAGAGCAGCACTAGAAGAACCAGCTGTGTGTCTCACCTATTCTTGGTTACCCAGAAAGAGGGTCTTATGTTACGCAATTACCAACTACCCAGAGAAGAAAATGGAGAAGGACAGGAGCTGCAGCGCAGTTTCCAAGTCACAGTGCTGTGGCTGGGCAGACCTCAGCTCTGGAGCCATCCCAGAGAAATTGGGAATCTACCAGAGCTGGAGAAGACCAGCTGTGATGGAGAAGAGGGCATGACACGGCAAGAAGTGAGGCAGGAGGCAGCTTTGTTGGATGGTTTGATAAGGCTGGGAGCTGGCTCCTAGGGGACCCTGTCTGATAATTAAGTATCCAGATTCCTAATCAATGGGAAAGTGATTTTTGTGTTGGGTTATGATGTACGTTTATGCAGGCAGCTTCCTTATGCCACCCCAAAGGAGTTCCGTCTCCTCTCTCACCTTCCTGTAAATGTACCCACCTTCCCTTGCCCTTAGTGGTGCTATCTTTACTTCTCAAGCAAAATGTCCTCTGTTGGGCTCACTGTATTCTTGCTGTGTTTTTCATTTCCGACCTTTTTCCTAACAATTCTCATCACGTTTTCTCTCTCTCCTTCCCTCCTCTTCCCCCATCAGGCACTGCTGCTCTTTATGGGGAAGTCTCTGCGATGGTTTCCATTTCTGCACCTGGATGGGCTGTATCACTTGATTGTGCCCCAGTGCTCGGTAAGAGAGAGGCTGTCTTGCTGTTTCTTGTTGGAGACCTTTTGCTGAACTGCCTGTGAGAGTTGAGGAGTCAGAGGGTGACTAAGCTGTTTTCAAGGCCTGGAATTCGCATCCTCTTGCCAAAGGAACTGCTTCAGTTCTGTTTAGTTAAAATTTTCAGACCTCTGAGTTGAGTGTATTTTTTTTTTCTTTAAGCCATTGTTCTTCAGTGGCCCTTTTTTCCTAGATATCTTTCATCTCTTCCCCTTA